TCTACATCCACTGAATGATGCGGGTTCTCTGTTTCTTGTGCTGACAGTAGCTCATCAACGAGGTCACGAAACACCAGCAGGCGCGACATCCCTTGGTCCTCCAAATTCCTCAATCGTTTACTTCTTAAAAAGTCAACAATGAAGTCATAGAGTTCCACTTCAGACGATTCCTCCCCTGGCGCGTCTTCTCCCACCTCATCTTGGCACGATACTGCCAGTTAGTGAAGCAGCTCTCTTCTGGCATCATCAATCAGTTGGTGAAGCAGCTGCTGGATCTCCCACTGAAGCTCATGTAGCGTCGTCATCTCTGGATACCTGATGTCTTGCCCTTAGAGCATCAGTTCATGTAACATAAGGTCAGGATCCCAAGGTTCTTTTTTTTTTTTAGATAGCACCAAGCCAGCAGGAGGTGCCATCCCGGACGAGCCCCCAAATTTGTTACCCTGCAACCTCGGATGGCTGAGGGTAATGTGTACGATGACCTTCCCTCAACATGTGGTGCTGTGGTATGAGAAAGACGAAACACACATGTTGAGCTTCTTTACCTTCAACCGGAAGATTTATTCTTCTTGTGTGTTCAGTATTCTTCATGCCGCCAACGTGTCAGCGCCCCCTAGCAGCCGCGGCCAGAACTACATGGACTAAATGAATAACACCATATAATCTAATAAAATGAGAAATCAAAGACACAAAACGAAAAAATAATGTTGGGGTGCCTGTTTTCCAACTTCTTTGTTTTATCCACTAAAACTGGCTTTTCACCCCTCTACAGTAACTTACGTTATTTATGAAGATCTGAGTTATTGGGAGCATGTAGATATTGAATAAAAGTGGCCCTAAAAAAAACTAATGTGGAACACCACATGTTCCATCTTTCTCATGCTCAACGGTTACCTGTGGAGTATCACAGGGATCAGTGCTAGGACCAATTCTCTTTACTATATATGCTCCCAATTGGTAGAATTATTTGACAGCATGGGATTAATTTCTGCTGTTATGCTGATTATACTTAGCTATATCTGTCTATAAATCCAGATGAAGCTAACCCATTACATAGATTAAAGGCCTGTGTTGAAGACATAAAAACCTGGATGGCTCTTTACTTTCTACGGAAGTTATAGTCTTTGGGACAGAGTCTATGAAAAATGGTTAGTCAGTCAATTCATTTGGATGGGATTAAACTGATTTCAGATAATAAAGTAAAAACTTTTGGTGTTATTTTTTATCAGGACCTGTCATTTAAATTTCAAATCAAAGAGCTTTCTAGATTTTCCTTCTTTCATCTGAGGAATATTGTAAAAAAATAGACATATCCCATCCAGGGGTGATGCTGAGAAACTAGTCCATGCATTTGTTACTTCAAGGCTGGACTATTGTAATTCTTTACTATCAGGAAGTACATAAAATGTAGTTAAAGCCTTCAGCTAATCCTTCAGCTGCAGCCAGAGTTCTGATGAAAATTAAAAATAGAGATCATATCTCTCCTATCCTATCTTCTCCTTGTTGGCTTCCTGTTATATCAAGAATAGAATTCAAAATCCTCCTTCTAACATATAAAGCCTTAAATGGCCAAGCTCCATCTTATATCAGAGATCTGATTGTTCCTTATGTTCCTAA